ACTTGACGAACCGCCCAATGATCAGGTTTGCCCCTGCTGTTGCAGCTCAACTACGTGGGCCCCCACGTCTCTTTTGTCCTTGTCTCTTGACTATCTTTTCTCCTCCCTCGTTTGAAAGGGCAGTGGCTCTGTCTCCTGGCACCGGGGAAGAGGTTGAGCTCTCTCGGAAAGACAAGGAAGTTAAGGTCTTGAAGCTTCCTGCTGGTGGAGTTGGGGCGAGCGAGTATTTGCAAAAGATTCCTGTTGGCACGTGTGTATATATTGTAGTGCTGTACTGTGCATTGCTGCATTCTGTTAACCACGCAGTGTGTGCAGTACAGTACTATTAATAATTTCGATGCTCTTCTCCGGATTTGTGTGCTTTCAAAAGGTATGAGATTAAGGTGAATGGAAAACCAGCCGGGAAAGAATGGTTCGATGCAGGAGGCGTCTACTCGATTTTATTGTCTGGGGGTGATGAGGTAAATCCGAAAGACAATATTTCGGAGGCTGTATTTTATTTTTTCTTCGTCCCCTTTATTAATCCTGATTACGACTCTGCAGCCAGCCCGAGTGACGACTCAGGTGAAACCTGCGGAAGTTCATTTGCTCTGGATGCTTATTCCGTTGTTCATATTGACCGTTTCGGAGGTCCTGACTTTTCCAACAATGACAATATTCTATTATTCTGAGGTATGATCCGTGTATTTGCTTATACGGTATACATGACGTTTTCAAAGTTTCAGCATTTTTTGTATAGGCACCGGTAAACATGAAGGCTGTTTCTTTGTCTCTCTTTGCGCAAAGCCACCATCCAATGAATTTAGTTTCTGCTGCCGTGACTGACACCTTTATGCCGTATTTGGTGCGTTTACCTTTACCCCTCTTTACCGTCTTTACCGTAATCACAATGGGATAAACACGGAATTAGAAAATGCAGGAAAGTTTTGTTGTAATGAAACCGTGGGAGAGCCAGCAGTAAAATAGCCTGGTTAAAATCAACAAGAGAAAAAATGAAGAAAAAAAGTTTTGAGAAACGCATTCAACTTTGGCTAACTGCAGTATGGGCCCTATAAACGAATTAGTTGTACGAGATTATTATTCGTTGTCACGAGATTCAACTTTAATATGCAGTAGTATCTTACATAGTGGTATTAATGGACTGGTTCAATTGATTTTACTTTACAGTTATTGAGCCTATTATTCGCTAGCTTAAAAATTACGCTGATGAATTACGTACGTCGGTTAATCCCGGGCAGGATTGATCATTAATTTATCTATTTTCATCACAAGACCACTTGTCAGGCGAAAATTTAGAATTGCTGCAAGTACAGGATATGCATTTTAAGGCTCTGCAAGAACATTTTTTTTCCTTTATTGCTCAGTATTTGGCTTTTCTTTCATATTTTAAACTGTTCATCTCGATGTGTATAGTACTGTAAATGCGTTTTTTTTAACACTCAACTTATTGATGACGAAAATCTTGGATGGATAAACGCAGTCAGTGTGCGTGCCATATTTGAGGCTGCGTGCTGGTACTTCCGTAATTACTGTATGGTGAATTCAAGCACTTACAGCCAGTTTATGTTTACAGGCATTCATTATTCATGGGGTGAAGTTGGATTTGTGAGTTTTTAGGTGTCAGACGCCAAGTTTGTCCCTGAAAAGCATTTTAACGTGTGACGTCATCTGTACTGTACTTCTCTAATTTATTTCATATGTTCTTATTGTGAATCATGTTTGCTACGAACAGTACAGTACATTATAATATGTACACCACTCGTCTATGTATTGATGTGGTTGACTAACTTTGTTCTTCGTCTCCTTTTTTCGCTCGACGCTTCAAAAGTGGCAAGAATTCTTGTTTTACACCATCCTGTTGACGTTGGACACGATCCTGCTGGGTTTTCTGTCCAAGTGGTACTTGGCGAAAGAGACTGCTTCGGCGTCTCGTGATGAACCGAAAGACTCGGAAGAACGTGGATCGTTGACAAGAGCTAGCAGACTGACCGGATTTGATACCTCGTTGCGATCCAGGCCTTCTTACAGGAAGTCCATCGCTGCGCACGAGGCCAGCAAGCAACTGACTAATGTTGACGAAGGCCCTTCCTCGGCCGTTCCCAAGACGACGTAATACTGTATAGTGCTTCGAATAATTAAGTCGGCTCATTTCGAATAAGTCGTCTGCTGTCTGGGTGGTGATGAAAATGTTCTTCGGAAGATTTCGGCGTACTTATTTTTATTCAAAAAATTTAAAATTCCATCGTGTCGATAAACTGGCGAGTAAATAATTATTCAGGCCTCAAAATTATCTCACGAAGAGTATTTAAAAATTGCGTAGCTTGTACTGTGCTAAAGAGTTGATGCTCCTTTTAACTTCTCTCTTATTGCTTCGGTAGACTGTAACAGAAGTTGCGATGATTCCAAGAAAAATTGTCTAATGTTCACATTGTTTAATAGTCGTGAATATGCTGCCCTTGCAAAAGACCTATTCTTGAAAAGATATCTACAGTTTTGGATTGAGTTGCGTGCTGGAATGATTGTATTCAAGTAGACACCAGTGCAGTATCAGTTTTCTCAAATGCTTTTAAGATTGAATAGTATTCAAGGGTAGGATTAAAGATACTGTATTTCTAACGTTTCGAAAATTAATGACTCTCATTATAAATCATGCGATTATCTTTGAAATGGAGAAATTCTTCTTCGGACCGGCAAAAATCCTCCGTTTTTTAAGCGATTTATATTCCCGGTGGCATTTTGGCTCTTTTGAATCCGTTTTCTGCGAACTGCTTCAATTGGAAACATTATAGGCCTTCATTGTGCATTGATTTCCAATTTCGATGTCGGATGGTATACCGCGGGGAAACATGGACGTGTGCATCAGTACTGCTCTAAAGATATTGTTGGGCTACTCCGTGTTAGTCCTTTTATATTATGTATATATTATGTATTATTATTTCATTGCAAAGTGAGCGGGAGGAATTCTTTTGTGGGATGAATTTCTCGTCGGATAAATCCTTGGAGGAATAAACTTGTGGAATTCACCTGCCGAGAACGGGATGGCCGATGAAGAACAAACTGAAAAGGAGAAAGACGTCGAGAAAAGAGACTTTGATGATGATGAAGCCTCATCGTCGCGGGGTCCCGAAGGGGATGAGTACCAGAAAGAGAAGATACCCGTACGTGCGCATTTTAGGTTCTTTGAAACACTCGTTTCTCTCTTCGTGAAACCTGCGTTTCTTCTTTTTTTTTCAGTATCCGTATGTTGCCATCGGATCAATTTTCACGTTCACGATAACGGAAGCGCTTTCTTATAGGGTTTTAAGCAGTGAGTTTTTTTTCTTTCAATCTTCCTATTTCCTCCTTTTGAAAGTACATTGAAATAATGCCTGAATTTCTTGTAATTCAGCTGTGGTACACACCTATCTTGTAACTGAACTGCAGCTGGGGCCTGGATTTGTGACGAGGTTCTTGAAATTGAGATTACAGTTCCTCATGATTCTGAGTTTCGTTTGGGCGTATATTTCGGAGTCTTGGACTGGACGATACCCGTGAGTCTCGTGTTTTGACCGTGCGAATAAGTGCTGTTGGATACGGGAGCAGGATAAAATCCCGTGGGAGAAAAAATCCCGCGGCCCGAAAATCCCGTGCGGCCAAAAATCTCGAAAGGTCCGAAAATCCCGAAAAAGAAATTTTCATATCAGTAAAACCTAGTTTGAGAACTGCAGAAGGTAATGGTATTTAAACAATTCATAATTCTCAAAGACGTCTAAATGCAGTTATATACAGTGATATTTCATTTTCAATCTTAATATTCAATATACAGTACATGAAGTGAAGGTGAGATTCTATTGAGAAAGATAATCCCGCTAAACCTCCCAAACCCTTGGAAGGAATTAAAACCCTTGCACTTTCACAATTTCATTATCCACTAGATTTGTATTCCTTCCAGACAGTTGAAAGGGTAACCCATAGAGACAATATTACAATTCTGTAGTATTCATCGGGATTTTTGTACGTGCGGGATTTTCGTACTACGGGATTTTTGGACCAAGCGAGATTTTCCGGCCTACGGGATTTTTGGCCTCACGGGATTTTCGGGCCGCGGGATTTTTTCTCCTACGGGATTTCATCATGGAGCCGTTGATACATAGGTGATATGGATTTCTGATTGTTAGGATTATCCTGTGTTCCCTTGTGTGTTACATTTTCGGGCACATTTTTATGGCGGGGTCCGACTTGCTTCCAATTTTGGTCTTTCCTGAAATGAGTCTCCTGACAAGAAGGCAAGTGTCGTGTCATTATTTCCCGTGCACATCGTACCCTATTACTGTAATCAAGTTTTGAAGCATGGTACCGGCTCGTAAATACAGTTTGTTCATATGCTAGCATTTTGGATCAGCTTACGACAGGACCTGCGTGATTGAATGCCTCTCTGACCGACTCAACTTTTGAAACTTGGAAACATTAGAAAAATAAACGTGTAGAGCTGAAATACCTCATTCAGTGGTAAGCTCCGCGACTAATCGTTATATTCAGTCACATTGAATGCTGGGCTTCTGTCTGCACGAGGAGATGCACGCTTTTATGCGATATTGATCAAACTGTGCATGTATTTTTCCAGTTTGGAAAGATACATGTATGGTATGTACACACAAAAGTTTTCTAACGCTTGGGATATGTGTTTATCAACGCAGAATTCTAGCCTATACTGCGTTGCAAATATTCGGAATTTTCGGAGCCGCCGAGTCTTCTTGCATAACTCCGTTTTCGGCCGAGCAGTTCAAGTTGCCGGAGCAGGAAGTCGAGAAAGACAACTACTTTTACTGGAATTACTCTGTTATGAACGTCGCTATGTTCGCTATGTCGATTGTGGCCCCGATGATGAGGAATATGCCTTGTTTTGGGAGAGAAGACTGTTATGCTTTCGCACTGGGCTTTGCTGGTGTGACTGCCGCCATTGTTCTTGGTGTGGTTCAATGAAGATTTGTCATCGTCCAATTTTGCCGTACATAGCCGATGTCTTTTTCAGTAATTTTCATCGCCGCGTCGCCGTGGTTCCACAAGGCACCGCCTGCAGGGAATGTTACGGGAAGAGCCCTTTCGTGCCTTTTTGTGAGTTGAGAACTGAACGGTATAACGCTGTTGTAACTGTATATTTCATCAGGAGACGTAAAATTTGTACAATACTGTACCTGGACTGAACCGTACTGTAAGAAGAGCGTTGATTTGGCACTTGCATTTTAGTTCGGCGTAAAGAATTGTCTAACGCACCGGAGGAACCCGGAGTATTCCCATTGGATGGACTATGCACAAGACAGCGGGCATTCGAAGGAGATGGTCGATGTCATAAAACATTTGCTGAATGTCATGGTCCTCTTGCTACCCTTGTCAGTCTACGAGTCGATTTATAGTTTGCACGTAAGACTTGACCTCTGCGTGATGTTGATAACATCACCGACTGTATATAATGTACGACGAACAAAAGATTTCTAAGTATAATCCTATCTATAGATGACAAGGTGGCTGGATTTGCAATACAGGATGAATGGATATTTCCCGCTCTTCGACTATGCTTTCAAGGCAGACGAGTTGCAGTGGTACAACCCGTTGCTGACGTTTGCCATGGTTCCCACTGCGATCAAAATCATTTTTCCTTGGATGCGTAGAAAAAGGATCCTTCCCAGATATCTCCACAAGGTCATTTTTGGGTTCGTGTTGATGATTATAACATACCTTTTCGTCGACGTCATCGCTTACTTGGTAGAAGTGAGTGCAGGATGTGGCCTTTTAGCGTGCCTTTTATACTGTGCTGTATACGGCAGTGCGTTCCTTGCAAAGAATTGCTCGCTCACAACCGTATCTCGTCTCCTCTGTGTATTTGCAGACTCGGAATCCAATGCCGAGGTTGTCTTCGTCGCAGAGCGCTGTTCAGCTCCTGGGAGGAATCGAAGGCCAGTCTGTGGATGTGTACCTCACTGGGCCAGGTGTGCCGGCGCTGAAGAAGACCGTGCCTCCAGGTGGAATGGCCACCTGGGACACCCTGGAACACGGCAAGACGTACGTTCTCTCCAGTCAGCCGTCTGGCGTCCCCGCGCTCGCCTCTGTGACGGCGGACGGAGGATCTGTGAGTCGTCGATTAACCCCGTACAGTAAAAGAATAAATTGACTCGGCCCCTTCGCCGTCGGTCTCCACCAGGCTTTCACTGGAATTGTCTGGGGATCTGCGGCTGCTGCGCCGTCCGTCAAGATGTTTCCCGAACCGGATGCGTATGGCGTCAACTTGACGAACCGCCCAATGATCAGGTTTGCCCCTGCTGTTGCAGCTCAACTACGTGGGCCCCCACGTCTCTTTTGTCCTTGTCTCTTGACTATCTTTTCTCCTCCCTCGTTTGAAAGGGCAGTGGCACTGTCTCCTGACGCCGGGAAAAAGGTTGAGCTCTCTCGGAAAGACAAGGAAGTTAAGGTCTTGAAGCTTCCTGCTGGTGGAGTTGGGGCGAGCGAGTATTTGCAAAAGATTCCTGTTGGCACGTGTGTATATACTTTATTGCTGTACTGTGCATTGCTGCATTCCGTTACCCACGCAGTGTGTGCAGTACAGTACTATATATAATTTCGATGCTCTTCCCCGGATTTGTGTGCTTTCAAAAGGTATGAGATTAAGGTGGATGGAAAACCAGCCGGGAAAGAATGGTTCGATGCAGGAGGCGTCTACTTGATTTTACTGTCTGGGGGTGATGAGGTAAATCCGAAAGAAAATATTTCGGAGGCTGTATTTTTTTTCTTCTTCGTCCCCTTTATTAATCCTGATTACGATTCTGCAGCCAGCCCGAGTGACGACTCAGGTGAAACCTGCGGAAGTTCATTTGCTCTGGATGCTTATACCGTTGTTCATATTGACCGTTTCGGAGGTCCTGACTTTTCCAACCATTACAATATTCTATATTAATGAGGTACGATTCATGTCTTTGCTTGTACTGTATATGTGACGTTTTCAAAGTTTCAGCATTTTTCGTATAGGTACCGGCAAACATGATGGGTGTGTCTTTATCTCTCATTAGTCAAAGCAACCATCCAATGAATTTTCTTTCTGCGGCCGTGACTGACACTTTTATTCCGTATCTGGTGCGTTTAAATTATCCATTCAGGATTCATCCCTAAATTATCCACTCTCATCGCGAGACCACTTTTCAGGCGAAAATTTAGAATTGCTGCAAGTACAGTACAGTATATGGATTTTAAGGCTTGTCAAGAAAAATAATTTGTCATATACATACAGTACATTATTTGGTTTTTTTTTCTTCATATTTTGAACTGTTCATCTCAATGTGTACAGTATATGCTTTTTATTTGAACGTATCTTATTGTTCACAAAAAACTTGGATGGATAAACAGTCATTGTGCGTGCCATATTTGAGGCTGCGTGCTGGTACTTCCGTAATCACTGTATGTTGAACACAAGCACTAATGGACAGTTTATGTTTACAGCAGGCATACATTATTTATTTTGTGAAGTTGGATTCGTGAGTTTTGAGGTGTTAGGCACCCAGTTAGTCCCTGAAAAGCATTTTTACACGTGACGTCATCAGTACTTTACTTCTCTAATTTATTTCATCTGTGCTTGTGAATCATTTTTGCTACAAACAGTACAGTACATTATAATATTTACACCACTCGTCTATGTATTGATGTGGTTGACTAACTTTGTTCTTCGTCTCCTTTTTTCGCTCGACGCTTCAAAAGTGGCAAGAATTCCTGTTTTACACCATCCTGTTGACATTGGACACGATCCTGCTGGGCTTTCTGTCCAAGTGGTACTTGGCGAAAGAGACTGCTGCGGAGAACGCTGCGGCGTCTCGTGATGAACCGAAAGACTCGGAAGAACGTGGATCGTTGACTAGAGCTAGCAGACTGACGGGATTTGATACCTCGTTGCGATCCAGGCCTTCTTACAGGAAGTCCATTGCTGCGCACGAGGCCAGCAAGCAACTGATAAATGTCGACGAAGGCCCTTCCTCGGCCGTCCCCAAGACGGCGTAATACTGTATAGTGCTTCGAATAATTAAGTCGGCTCATTTCGAATAAGTCGTCTGCTGTCTGGGTGGTGATGAAAATGTTCTTCGGAAGATTTCGGCGTACTTATTTTCATTCCGAAAATTTAAAATTCCATCGTGTCGATTAACTGGCGAGTAAAAAATTATTCAGGCCTCAAAATAATCTCACGAAGAGTATTTACAAATTGCGAAGCTTGTACTGTGCTAAAGTGTTGGTGCTCCTTTGAACTTCTCTCTTATTGCTTCGGTAGACTGTAATAGAAGTTGCAATGATTCCAAAAAAAATGGTCTGATGTTCACATTGTTTAATAGTCGTGAATATGCTGCCCTTGCAAAAGACCTATTCTTGAAAAGATATCTACAGTTTTGGATTGAGTTGCGTGCTGGAATGATTGTATTCAAGTAGACACCAGTGCAGTATCAGTTTTCTCAAATGCTTTTAAGATTGAATAGTATTCAAGGGTAGGATTAAAGATACTGTATTTCTAACGTTTCGAAAATTAATGACTCTCATTATAAATCATGCGATTATCTTTGAAATGGAGAAGTTCTTCTTTGGACCGGCAAAAATCCTCCGTTTTTTATGAGCGATTTATATTCCCGGTGGCAGTTTGGCTCTTCTGAATCCGTTTTCTGCGAACTGCTTCAATTGGAAACATTGTAGGCCTTCACTGTGCATTGATTTCCTGTTTCGATGTCGGATGGTATTCCGCGGGAAACATCGACGCGTGTGCATCATCAGTACTGCTCGAAAGCTATTGTTGGGCTACTCCGTGTTAGTCCTTTTATATTATGTATTATTTCATTGCAAAGTGAGATGAAGGAATTCTCTTGAGGAATGAATGTCTCGTCGGATAAATCATCGTAGGAATAAACTTGTGGAATTCACCTGCCGAGAACGGGATGGCCGATGAAGAACAAACTAAAAAGGAGAAAGACGTGGAGAAAAGGGACTTTGATGATGATGAAGCCTCATCGTCGCCAGGTCCCGAAGGGAACGAGGAACAGAAAGAGAAGATACCCGTACGTGCGCACTTTAGGTTCTTTGAAACACTGGTTTCTCTGTTCGTGAAACCTGCGTTTCCTCCCTTTTTCAGTATCCGTATGTTGCAATCGGATCAATTTTCGCGTTCTCGATAACGGAAGCGCTGTCTCATAAGGCCATGGACAGTGAGTTTTTTTTCTTTTTCATTCTCCCTATTTCCTCTTTTTTTAAAGTTAAGTGAAATAATGCCTGAATTCTTGTATTTCAGCTGTGATACACACCTATCTTGTAACTGAACTGGAGATGGGGCCGGGATTTGTGACGAGGTACTTTAACCTGAGATCACCGTTCCTCAGGATTCTGGTTTTTGTTTCGGCGTATATTTCGGAGTCTTGGACTGGACGATACCCGTGAGTCTCGTGTTTTGACCGTGCGAACAAGTGCTGTTGATACAGAGATGATTGTTGTCAGGATTATCCTGATTTCCCTTGTGTGTTACGTTTTCGGACACATTTTTCTGGCGGGGTCCGACTTGCTTCCAATTTTGGTCTTCCCTGAAATGAGTCTCCTGACAAGAAGGCAAGTATCGTATCATGATTTCCCGTGTCCATCGTGCCCTTTTACTGTAACGAAGATTTGAAGCATGGTACGGCCCGGTTAATCCAGTCTGTTAATCGTGCAGTATTCTATATGCTAGTATTTCAAATCAGACTACGTTAGGACCTGTGTAATTGAATGCCTCTCTAACGGCTCATCTTTTAAAACTGGAAAACATTTTGAAAATAATCGTGGGAAGCTGAAGTACCTCATCCAGTGGTTAGCTTCGTGACTAATCGTGATATTCAGTCACAGTGAATGCTGTGCTTCTCTCTGCACGTGGAGAGGCACGCTTTTATGCAGTATTGTTGAAAACTGTGCATATATTTTTCCAGTTTGGAAAGATACATGTATGGTATGTACACACAAAAGTTTTCTAACGCTTGGGATATGTGTTTATCAGCGCAGAATTCTAGCCCATACTGCGTTGACCATTTTCGGAATTTTTGGAACCGCCGAGAATTCTTGCATAACTCCTTTTTCGGTCGAGCAGTTCAAGTTGCCGGAACAGGAGGTCGAGAAAAACAACTTCTTTTATTGGAGTTACTCTGTTATGTCTCTCAATTCGTTCGCTATGTCCATTGGGGCCCCGATGATGAGGAATATGCCTTGTTTCGGGAGAGAAGACTGTTATGGTATCGCACTGGGCTTTGCTGGTGTGACTGCAGCCATTGTTCTTGGTGTGTTTCTACGAATACTTGTCTCATCGTCCAATTTTGCCGTACATCTTTTTAAATTGCCCGATATATTTTTCAGTCATTTTTATCGCTGCGTCGCCGTGGTTCCACAAGGCCCCGCCTGTAGGGAATGTTACGGGAAGAGCGCTTTCGTGCCTCTTTGTGAGTAGAGTACTGAACAGTTCAATAATGTTATACCTGGTCTTTATTGTACTGTAAAAAGAGCGTCGATTTGGCCTTTGAAATTTAGTTTGGCGTGAAGAATTGTTTGACGCACCGGAGGAACCCGGAGTATACCCATTGGATGGACTATGCACAAGACAGCGGACATTCGGAGGAGATGGTCGATGTCATCAAACATTTGCTGAATATGATGGTCCTCTTGCTACCCTTGTCGGTTTACGCGGGGGTTTATGGTTTGCACGTAAGACTTGACCTCTGCGTGGTGTTCATATCATCACCGAATGTATATACTGTACGGCAACCGGACGACTTCTAAGTAGAATACTATCTAGGCTTCAAGGTGGCTGGATTTGCAATACAGGATGAATGGATATTTACCGCTCTTCGACTATGCTCTCAAGGCAGACGAGTTGCAGTGGTACAACCCGTTGCTGACGTTTGCCATGGTTCCCACTGCGATCAAAATAATTTTTCCTTGGATGCGTAGAAAAAGGATCCTTCCCAGATACCTCCACAAGGTCATTTTTGGGTTCGTGTTGATGATTATAACATACCTTTTCGTCGACGTCATCGCTTACTTAGTAGAAGTGAGTGCAGGATGTGGCCTTTTAGCGTGCCTTTTATACTGTGCTGTATACGGCAGTGCGTTCCTTGCAAAGAATTGCTCGCTCACACCCGTATCTCGTCTCCTCGGTGTATTTGCAGACTCGGAATCCAATGCCGAGGTTGTCTTCGTCGCAGAGCGCTGTTCAGCTCCTGGGAGGGATCGAAGGCCAGTCTGTGGATGTGTACCTCACTGGGCCAGGTGTGCCGGCGCTGAAGAAGACCGTGCCTCCAGGTGGAATGGCCACCTGGGACACCCTGGAACACGGCAAGACGTACGTTCTCTCCAGTCAGCCGTCTGGCGTCCCCGCGCTCGCCTCTGTGACGGCGGACGGAGG